TTCGGGGATGACGTGAGGATCTTGAGGAGCATCTCTCTGTTCTGAGGATGATGTGGGGCTGATCGGGGCCTGGGGTGATTCAGGAATAAAGAGGTGTTGGAGGAGGCTTGTGTGATTATTTTCTATTCTTGTTTGTTTGAGTTTCTTTTTTTTTTTTTTTTTTTTTTTTTTTTTTTTTTTTTTTTTTTTTTTTTTTTTTTTTTTTTTTTTTTTTTTTTTTTTTTTTAACTTAAATCACTCTCGGTGCAGTGGAGGGCAGGGATGATGCTGCCCGGAGAGCCGGCACAGCCTTCCCCGGCCTTGCTGCTCCTCCCCTGCGGTCAAGGGAAGGTGACTGAGAGAGTCGGTTAAGCAGGAGAGTGTTTATTTGTTCTGAATATGTTTGCTCTAAACATATGTGTGTATATATAACAGTCAGCTCTGTGTCAGTTTGTATGGAAATATTCACAGCACGTACTAAGTTACTTTGCCATGAGTAAGTGCTCTACATTCTGCTGCTGGAGGAGTTCAGAAGGATAATTAAGTAGAAAAATTCCATCCTTGCCCTGCATGTTCAGTGGCCTTTTCATGCATTTGAGACCATGTTGGTGTTTTGGATGTTTTTCCCCGTATTTGTTAAACAACAGGTTCTTGCTGTGAAGCCCCCACTTTAAGAATTATGGGTACCTGAGGTTTGATTACCTGATGTCACTGAATTTGTGCTTATAATCAAATACAGAATGACGGGTTACTGCTTGTGCCCAAATAAATATTCTTATAAAACTAGGAGCAGTTTTGTTTTTATGAACTTTAAAGGAATCGTGGAATTGTTTGGGTTAAAAGGGACCTTGAAGATCATCTAGTTCCAAACCCCCTGCCAGGGACACCTTCCACTAGATCGGGTTGCTCAAGGCCCTGTCCATCCTGGCCCTGAACTCTGTTTTGCTCTAGTTGGGAGAACTTGCTGGCTTTCACAATACTTGCCTTGGACACTGACCACTTTAAACAAAGATATGAATAAAGCCTCCCTTCCCCTTTCACTTTATCACAGCTACTAGCTAATGAACTTGTGAAGTTCAATCTAGAGCAAATGTTGAGCGCAAAATTTTAAACAAATGCTGAATTGCTTTTAATGATTTAATCCAGGAAAGAAATTTGATTTTTAGATTTAATATCTCTGACTCTAGGTACATGTGGTGTATGTATACAGTGTCAATTTTTGGGGTATTTTACTGATTTGAATTTGGTTTAGTAATGGTGTACAAGTAGCTCTATGAGAAAGCTGAAAAATTCTCCAAGTAAACCTCCCCTACTTATGGAGCTACAGTTGTTTCTAAAATAATCACAGTAAAAAACTACTTTGTAAAGATTCAGGTGATCTCTTGTCTCGATTTTAGTTTGGAATGAAAGAAAGCAATGAAGCTCACTTCAGCTTCTAGAAGTGGTTAATAATAAGTTAAAAGTACTTATATTCAAAATAACTTGAGCTAAAGCATTAATATGATGAATAAAGAAGGAATGAAGAAATAGCTAATACAGGTGTGCTTTGCATGCCACTGCTTCTGTAGCCATTGTTTGCATTCCACTGCTGATTAAAAGTTCTGTTGTCAGGCTTGCAGTTAAAGTAGCAGAGTTCTATGGAGAGTATGAAGCAAAGTTTCCCATAAGGATTAATGTGAGAGTGAGGAAACGTGTATGGAGGCCTAAGTACAGAAATTTAAATACATAAGGGCAATGACATTGAAAATGTGACTTAAGATTTTCTCTTGGAGTATTCTTGTTACCTCTTTATGTAAGTGAAAGCAATCACTTGTAGTCTTCATGAGCTGATTTTCTGGATTCATCTGGAAAAAGAAGATAAAGATTAGATATTAGGTCAAATCGAGCATTTGAGATCACTTGGAATGGTTATCCATTTCAGGAAGCCAACATCTTGTCCACTTGATGATACCAATTATCTTGCGTGGGTGCTACAAGATAACACATCAGTTCATATGAAATAAATTGCTGTGATAGCAGTCTTTCAGATAAGTATCTCAACTTCTCAGGTGTCCTTCATGGACAGTGATTACACTCAGGTCTTCCTTATCACACCTTCTGTTTTTCTTTTCTAAAAAGCAGTTGTAGAATCACCAAGTATTAGTGTTAAACCTTTAAGAACAGAGGGGGCTCCAATGGGAATAAAAGGAAGACAGAGTTCAATTACCAATGACTTGCCTGGCATATTTAAAATGTGTTCTTTGGTTTTAATTTTTCATCCTTAATCTTAGTTGCAGCATAGGCTTTAGTTTCAAGTCCTTCACACTAGTAAGATTAGATCAGCATATATGATCTACTAAAGCTTGTCCATGTCAAATGTGAGAACAATATTTAATAAATACCTTTTCAATGACTTTTTCCCCCAGATTTGAAATCAGTAGTGTTTATGCTGCAAAAGATTCTTAAGTACTATGTGTTTTAGAAAAGCAGCATGTGCTCAGAGAGTGCAGGAAAAAGCTAAATATTTTGATTCTGGACTCTGATCCTAAACACACCCTAACTAACCAAGTTTGTTTTTGCTGTTTGCTGCTGTACAGTGTAGTAATGAGACCATGTGAGTAAAATAGAGAAGTGATTGTCATGTGCCCTTGCAGAAGTGGTGCTTCTGCTTGGCTGGATACCCTGTTACGGGAGACAGGGCTGTACGTCACTGCTGGCTTGGAAATGAGGGGTTGGGAATGAGGAAATGTTGCAGATGACAGAGCTCCCTTTGAAGGATGGTGGCTTAGTTAGTAAGGGTATAATGTGAACTGCGGAAGGCATACTATCAACAATTAACCTTTCAGACCCCTACCAAAAGCAGAGGGGCTGTACCGTGCTGCATTTAGATACTTTGAGTCTTCTGAGATGATACACTTTTCCATACGAAGACTTTC